CATGAACACGGGCAAGTAAGACCAATTCCTGAGCAAAACCAGAAACTGTAACCACATCTCTTGGTGGATCTAGTGACACAAGCTTCTTAGGTGAACCACAAGGCTGGTATTGTGTACACGCCACACATTGTTAAAGGCTCTTTGTTGTAAACATCAGCTCATAATCTCACTTTAAACATGTTATCTTTACTTGTCAGTCAGGTTTTTGCATGTTGACCTAAAATGTAAATGGCTAAATATCTTAAAAACTACCAGCAATCAGCTCTTTTAAAGGTCATATTTGAATTCAGCACCTCAAAATCAATAAGAAGTTTGCATATTTCATTGGAAGAAATAAACTAAACACTTCACTGATGAAAAAGATTTAACTGACATATTTATCCAAATTATTTTGCCCCAGCCCTACATTCATTATAGATGCATACACACACTCAGACATGCACTTTTAACTCTGAGACAGTGCCTCCACCCAGGAGTGGACCCGTCTCCTGCACTGACTGACAGCACTTCAAAAAGCAACCCACCAAATAAAAAAACCTGTCAGAAGAAAGGAGCTCTCCAGAGATGCCCAATATCGGGTTGTACCACTTTTCTTGAGACTGGGGGGGGGTTACTGTTTGTGAGAGTAAAGACTCAGGTCTTTTTAGCCTCTTTCCTAAGTGGCATGTCAGTGGGTGGCAGTGAAACACGAGCCGGGGAGCTTGTGAAAAAGGGTCCGGGTTGGGGGTCTGGTTGCTAGGCAGCCGACCGATCAGAGCAAGATGCCGATTGGCTTGTGCGTGTGCATATGCAGAGAAAGGGTTCATCCAAGAAGAGCAAACCTGAATCTGGAGCACAAAGAAGAGAAGAGGAAGAAAGACCAGTTGTCTTTTACACCCTGACTGAATCTCCAACCAAATTGTTGGTAATGATTCCCTCAGCGCTAGTGCTTCTCACTGACAATCACACCAACACTCCCCAGCCAGCATGCTACTTGGCTGAAGGGCTTTCACAACCCAATTTCACTTCCAGCATCTACAAATCCTCCCAAAAAGATGGGTCAGGTGGGGATGATGATGATGATATACTGCTCCGTATTTTGTTCAGTGTGAATGAAAAGAAAAGCATATTTCTCTTGATTTGTAGGGTCACAAATTTTGCACAGCACAAGACTGAACTCGCTGGAGGAGCTTTCAAAAGCATCCCTTTCTACTGGGGGGAAAAGAGATCACAGCTTCTGGTGGTTCGGGGAGCACACTGTGATTTTTAATATATTTTGGATTAGTAGTGCAGCCAAGAGAGAGGAGATGTACAGCCAGAGGAAGACAGAAAGAGAGAGAATGCAAGGAAGACAGTAATAGTGAGTAATGAGCTGCCACGGTGTCTTTCCAAAGAGAAGAACAGAGAGAGAAACAAAGAGGCAGTGAGTGACAGAGAGCGAGCAGGACGTTCAAAAAAAGATTTACAGGAACAAAAAGAGATGAACAGAGATGTAAAAAAAGACAAACACAGCCGAGTGTGTGTGGAAGGAGGGAGGAGAAGGAAAAGCCCAGCAACAGGCGTGCCTTAAGAAGCTAGATGTCAGAGATAACATGAAGATGGCGAAAGCCTGACGGCTCGGGGCATGTGTTGTGCCCAGCGCTGACAGCAGCTCCGTGGGCTTTTGGTCATATGGCAGATCCCATCACCGGAGGCTGGTGGGCAGAAACACTGCCTGTGAAGATATTCTCTCAGTCCACTGGGGAATTCATTGCAACAAAAAGAGGCAATTTGTTTACGGGTTATTCAGGAGCAAAGTGTTTATAACAACATCTGGGGCATGCAGCTGCAACAGGAACGGTACCACCAACCCTGTCAGTGACGCTTTGCTTTGGACTTAGGGCCAGTTCAGGGTCTGCCACACCTGGTTCTGATGTTGGAAACCCAAAGCACTTGTCAAGGTCTTCTGATTGAACATGAATCTGGCTGTACAGCTGTCAGGAAAACAGAAATATGATGTCAAAGAGAAACTGATGCTCTATGTCTTGCTGGATGTGAAGTCTGTTGGCCGACACTAACAGGGCTTCACCAAACAATAATATTCCAGGGTTTGTTCTGACTCTTGCCATGCCTCTGGTAGTTGAGAATTAACGTACGTTTAAGCTTTGATGAAGTCTGATTTTGTTCCCACACACACATTGAACGAGGCCGTCAGCAATCAGCTGCTGTTTATCTGCCACTGCTGGTGGCGGCTGGGGGGGCTATTTGCTCCCAGTGGCTTTCAAACATCAACTTTTTGCCAGTGTGGGAATGTGGAGGGGCTTTTAAATGTCAAAGATATTAAAGAGAGATTTAATGACCTTGAGATTTTCTACTTTCATTCTGCGTACAGCATCGACACTAAAGAGGCTTTACAAAATTGTTTGTTTGGAAAACTACTGCTGGCCATCAGCCAAAGACTTAATCCTGGTTCTGGCTGTCTATGCTCTCCACTGTGACTCAGGCAACTATTCGGCTAACATCTACGGCCTATAAAATAGTTAAAGCAGCGACATCATTGTGGAAATGGACCTCACACCTGTGGCTCGTCAATACAAACAAAACAATTAGCTTCCTGCTCTGAGAACGGAGTAAATACTCCAAATGCCACAGAAGAATGAATGACTGGCCAAGCTAATCATGTGATATCACTGTCATTTGGCTAATCTGCTTACGGCCCCCTTTCATTTCCTCCAGGATGAAACCTGATAGGGCAGTTCAGCCAACTTTAGCCACACGCTAATTAATCTGCAGCACCAAAGCCTCTTAATAACTCCCTGACGCCACAAACAATCGGTGTGGTCATGCCAAGCTGTGGAAGTTTGCTCCAAGCTTTTGCTGTGGGAGAACAAAAATGGCACGATGGCAGAACTGATGGCATGTACCTAGAGGATGTGCCAGGGCCGAGGGTTTATAACTGTGTCACTGTAAGGCGCTTTGGAAATGCTGACTAACAGAGCTGGTTATGGGTTGATTGTTAGTGACACTGATGGCTCCGCAGTTGGTGGACAGATGATACTGGGGGGTTGGAGAGAGACATGGAAAGCAAGCGGATGGGGCAGTTGGCTTAATCCTCTCTGTCAGGCTGCTCCGCTTTGTCAGAGACAATATCAGGCCTCCATTTCTCCACTCTCTTTCTGCATCTCAGGCTTTGCTCTGAGCCGAACACATGAGATGGGCCTGTCTTTCTTAACTCTGTCTTTCTTTATTCATCTCCTCCTCCGTCAGTCCCTGTCGCTCCTCCAGTCTGCATGTCTCTCGCTCTCGGGTGGCTTATCGGCTACAGAACAAACAGGCTCATTGTGTTTATCGTGAGCCGTGAGGGCAGCAGAGACAAGGCTTATTTCATTGAAACCTGGATAGGATATCCATTCACATGGGAGACGGGACCTGCAGGAGTGTAAATGCCAGCAGACGGGTGAAGTGGCAAAGAGGGTGGAAACAAAAAACAACCAATATCAGAAACACAAAGGGGCAGTGACGAGGCAACACAGGTGCACAGCCTGGCCTGAATTTAAAGAACAGGAGACAGCAGAAAGAACAGAGGAACAGGAGAGGTGGATGTGAATGAGAAAAAAGAGGGAGGAGACTGCAAACTATTGGAGTACGAAAAAAGTATAGATTTAAATTACTGTCTGAAGCCAATGATGCAATGCTGAGCAAGGCAGAATCACACTGCTCCAAAGCAGATGCTGTTCAATAACCGCAAATTCACAAAGTATGGTCAATATCGGGAAAAAATGTACACAATGTTTACAAGATGTACAGCCAGTAAACAGCAACAACCTCACCACAGCAGTGGGGCTGGCTATGGAAGGCCACACAACCAAAAGGTCACCTGTTTGATCCAACAATGCAATACAACAAGGCTCTACTGTACGTGCTGTATCAGAGCATCACCTGCAAACCTGTGTAGAAAAGCAACCTAAATACAGGACTGTGGGTGGGGGTGGGGGGGCAGGATAGTAAATGCCTCATAATTTCACAGTCTGATAGCAATAACAGCAAATTCACTCTTATTTCGTAGTGTTTAAATAAAGCACAGAACATGTCACATAGAGCAGGAGAGGTGTGACGACATCTCATGACGTTAGAATACAGCTGTTGCTGAGGTCAACATGGATGAATATGGACCGCTCTGCAAGGGGATAAAGTTATTGTTAGTTCATAAACTCTGAAGTCAAATGTTTGCCTCCTCAGTCCAGGGGAGTATCAGAAAACACACAATGATCAGTCCGATCACTGTGATTAGTGATCAAGCTGATTCGTTTTGAATATTTATTGGCTTCAACCAGTGCTGCTGAAGCAGCAGGAGAGCTCATGCAGAAGGGACACGGTCACGTGAACAGCACAACAGCAATACTATATTTAATGTTAATTGCTAGTGTTAATTTGACGAGCACAAAATCGGATCTCAAAATGATCAGCTGATCAAAATGAAAACCTGCCATCTCTGATCTCCAGCTGCATCGTTACAAAAAAGTAATCAGAATAAAACGTAAACCTTATCTGTCTCTTATCTGTGCACCTACTGCTATAGCCAGTTGGATTAAAGAACAGCAGGAAGCCTCCCTTTATGAAGAATCTGAATTGGCTAGTTAAACAGAATACATTCAAACTTTACTAAACACATAGCTTGGCAGTGTTAACCTGCAGGGGGCGCTCTTAGCTCATACTGGCAGGAAAGTCGCTCAGTCAGCTCCTATTCAATAAAGGAAATTTGAGAGAGATCGTTTATCAGTCAAGAAAGGAAAAAACTGGAGCAGAGATTTCATTGTGGTCTGCCAAGTGTTTGGCACATTTCTGGGATATTGCAGTCATTTAGCAGCATTCAGGACCATTTATCATCTATTAAACCAAGTGATACAAACTCAATGCCTGGTCACAATTAGAGCTAATCACCTCATCTCAAACCCTTTCACAGAGGCAGTCTGCTCCAGATAGGTTGTTATTTTAACCCAACAGCAGCTAAATACAGGAGCGTACGTCCTGTCTGGACTCACCCTCAGGGCCTCGATGACCAGGTCTCGGGCCTCCAGCTCTCCCTCCATGATACTCAGCAGGGTGAGCAGCTCTGGCTTGCTCAGGTTATCCATGTTGAACTCACATTTCTGCAACACAAGCCAGAAACAACATGTCAGAATAATGCAGGTTATTCTCAGATTACAACTACGTGGAACCTTAAAGGAGACGCTCCTAATTTTTCCAAGTGTGTAAAGCAATACTCGGGTGTCCACGTACACACTGATGTAGGTTTTGTTTGCTGCAGGCGTTTTCCTTTTCACATTGGCCATGAAGAGTTTCCTTCTGAAAGAGCATTTAGTGCAACTGATGAAGACAAAATACAGTTTTTGTTCTGTGCAAAAATATATTCAAACCTTTACCCCGGGAGCAGGGAGGGAGAGGAAACATTGTGCTTACAGACTTCAGCTTTGCAAGATGTCCACTTTACTCAGACTGCTGAAGCCTCATATTGGCTTCATCTAAACTCTGGAAAGGTTTTTGCACAAAATGAGGACTAAGGATTTTGTCCTCCAAATGGTTCCTGTATCATTGTCTATATGGTTGATGCCTATTGCTTTAAAGCAGACTTGAAAATGTGTGAGCCTATACTTCAAAACGTCTTGAATAACAACTTGTCCTGTAAGATCAAAAACTGAAAGGTTATTCTTCTAACAACAAACATGCCGAGTGTAAATTCCACCAGCAGCTAAAAAGAAAAGTTGCTCACATGACTAATGCACCACTTCCTTTCTCCCAATGTCTGACTGGTCTCATTAGGTGCAGCCCTCAAATTAGGCTTCATGCCCGATCCTACCTCCAATATATTAAGGTCTAATTACATTTAGCTCCGTCATTAGGCACCCATTTGGTCAGCAGAGACCGGAGGGCAAACCGAGATGACTGTAACTGGGAGTGACCAGACCACTTCATGCTTCCCCTCATGTCAATTAAAAGCTTTTTCCAGTCTGCTTACACATTAAATACAGCGTCTGTTTACAGAAATAGAAACTGCAGAGTATTTTGGGCAGTTATTTTTATATTTTGTTACAACAAATTTACTCACGTTTCTGAACACTTCTTCCAACTCTAGGTTATTTTATGTGGTTCTCAATGAATTAAATTAAAAGTTAAAATGGTTGGCACAAAAATTAGGTCTAAGAATAATCAGTCGGGGGCATATTATTGATGACTAGAGCAGACAGAGAACACATGTACCTCCACCAAGGCACAACATTGACTCACACAAATGGGTCCCTTGTGAAAAATGACATACAGAACAACAAAATGTGTCCTGAAATCCTTGATCCAGATCATCTGTTAGGGTAAAAAGGGCAGTCCTACTGTGCACCTTACCTGGACATTTCAGGGTTCTATCTCCATCACAGGCCAAGTTACGGCAGAAAATGTGGTAAACAGGGTTTTCAATGTTAATTTAAATGGCTGTCAGATCCGGATGAAATTTGTTCTGGTGATAAGACATCACAACCCCACATGTGTCAGTTTCAAATGATTTAGATAACATTTGACAGAGATAGGATTTTTTTAAAATTTTGCCTTATGTTAAAGAGAGAGATTCAGTTTTTTGTGACCTTGACCTTTGAGCCAACAAACATATACACAGAACTAAAACCATGACCTCCTCGGTGGAGGCAATAATGTGACAGAAGCTTCATGCTTCTAGTGTTAAGATGTCAAATTCAACAGTAAACAAAGAGGCATTTTTCCCCAAGACGTCCTGACTTTGGGACAACACAGGGAGTCCTGTTCTGCTCCTGTTCCCACGTGTCTCAGTCACATCTCTGAGCATCCCAGCAGTGTCTGGTTAGTTGACATTCCAAAGCAAAGCGTCAAATTGTTAAGGAACCTTGAGAGGCATTGTGTTCGGTCAAAGCAGAAGCTGAGTGAGGAAAATTAGTGGAATTCTTGGCTGGACAGTTAAAAAACAGAAAACACAACCTCATCTAGACAGGCCAAAAGATAGGGCTGTACCTGACTCAGGATTTTGTCAGTTGGCTCTTCAGTGCGACTATTTGACTACTCTTTATTTTTATAGATAGACAAATAGACAGATAATGTTATTGATCTCGAGGGAAAGTCAGGTATCTAGTGGCAACAGCAATGATTACCAAAATCACAGCACCCAAAGTAAAGTGTATAAGTGTAAGATTAAAATACAAGAGAAAAAGAGTATTAAAAGATACAAGAAATAAGTGTAAAAATAGTATAGAGAATACATACACACTGTATGTATAAGGTGTGCAAGGTATACAGTATACATAAGTAAATGTGCATGGAGTACCTGTGTACAATGCCATACACACACACACACACACACACCCTAGACTATCAGAAACTGGCATATTGGATATTCAACTGGCATGAATATCAGTGATGATTTCCACCACATTAACATCAGTATTTAAATCCAAAAGAGTGACAGGAACATATTTCGGAGCATTTAAAAATCAATAAAAGACAGATGCATATGATGCAACACATAAATTGCAACCCATTTAGATTGTCAATATATTATCAGGCTGCCATATGGATTTGTCAGAATAAGGAGACAGGCAACACACTTGCATTTCTGTTGAAACCATGCTCTTATGGGCAGTTTTTCTTCTGAGAAGCAGTTGCAGCCCAGTTTACCAACCACAGCACAGGTTGTGACTGTGCGTTTGATGTGCAGCAGTTTGCATTGTCAAGGATTCCCATTATTTAGAAACTCCTCATTGAAATGTTTTCCTTGTGCATTCGGTTAGCTTCCTAGTCCTGTTTGGTAAATGGCTGTGTTGCAGTTTAATGGAAATGGGTAAACAAAGCGGACTCAACATTAGGCCTTGTGAAACCAGCCACATCATTTCTTTGAAAACAAGCACAAATCTCACCGTTAGGTGTCTTGTCCTAGTTTGTTTCGTTGTCTTTTTCTCTTCGTTCTGCAGTCTGCTAGATAATATCTGACCTTAATGTTCATCCATGCATTGGACAGTGTCACAGTTGAAGTGGGTATTCCCCCTGACCACAGGGGGCAGTACTGAGCAAATTGCCTCTTGGCACACCAACATGAGGAGAAGACAGGACAAACTACCAGCTGGGGCTGCCTTCTATTGTAATAACATATAATGAAATGAAAACAAAGGCTCGACTAGAAGAGTCTCAGTTGACTGACAGGTCTGTCAACTAATGCCTCGTCTTTGTGTGGGCAGTCCCACCAAAAGATAATAATGGGGCCCAGTGACACAACCCCCATTACTGTGTTGGCCACTGCTGCGGTCATCTGTTGGGAAAGTCAGATCCAACAGCATTCTCAATATCTGGAAGCTTTTCTCTGGTTGTTGATTCAATAAGGCCAAAAAAGCAGATGGAGTAAAGACAGAGCTGTGGCGCACATCAGGCGGATTGCTACCTGCTCCTTCTGGTGCCCTTCAGTTGTCAGCCCGCCGTTTAGGTCTGATTTACATGCCGACATCAAAACCTCAGCCAAGGTTATCCATTTTATTGAGGAGTCACACATCTCCAGAGGGCCCTCACACACAGTATGACTTTGAACAGGCCGGTCTGAGCTGTCAACAAGCTGCTACTGTCTGTGTCCTTCATACACTCCTAGGATGTTGTTTATTTCACCACGAAGGGGGAAAGTTCATGTTCAAATAACTGGGACAGGGATAATAAATCCATACGAATGAACAGGCCAACACTCTCCCCTCTAAAAGCTTTTGTTCAACAAATTCTGTTTAGCCAGAAATGCTTTCTCGAGACAGGTGCTGAAACATCAGCACGGGTTTTATCAAGAAACCAGCTTTTATCAGAGGAAGTTTTGTGCCTGCTCATTCTAACGTGGACCTTTTCTTTAGAGAACAAGGAGCTGGAAAGTGTCAATCACATTTCACTTTAGTCAGATCACATTGTTATTCTGATGCGATCACTGCAAAGCCTGGAAATAAAAGCAGGAGTGACGACTCCAATTGACCTTCACCACTCAGAGAACTGGATGACTCAGGGACATCAAGCCTAAGCCATGAGTCCTATCATGAGGCCCTCGGGTGGTGGCGAGGCAAGGTGACATGAGGGTGGAGGGCACCCAGAGCAGGTGCAGAAAGCAAACACTAATTTGTTCCATGAGCCATGAGCTCTGTGCCAAGGGCACAGGCAGCCTGGCCGGCAGTCAGAGGCTCGCTGTTATCCCCGGTCCATTTAATGAGGCCTGTGTCATTTCACTCTGAGCCACAAGGGAAGGAACCGCTGGCTCTGTGGAAGTTCCTCCACTGTGTGGCGCTGGCAAATGTATAGCACAGATTCACTGTGACTGCGAGCATCAAACTGTGATATGGCAGCCTGTAAATAGGGGTCGCCATTGGTTACAAGGAAAATGGCACCAACTAGGGAGAATCACAAAGACGTAAAGGCTCAAATGGATTAAATTACCATAAAACAGTGGCTTACATACTTCCTGTAGTGTCCAACGGTACAGAGAGTTTGGGGATTCTTCTGTCCAGGTTTTTGAGATTTCCAGTAAAGTCAAATGAAGGGCACCAACTAACAATCAATCTGCTGATTATTTCCTAAATTAAGTGTCTGGTCTTTTAAATGTAAGAAAATAGTGACAAAAAATTTCCATTCATGTTTCCCCAGAAGCCCAGGTCACATCTTCTTACTGTGCAAAAACCCAACGATATTACAATCACACAAAACAAAGAACTGAACCAAATCACCGTCATTTTCTGCAGCTGATTAATCATTTTAACCTTAGTGTGGATTATGCAAAGTAACAAGAACATTGTGGTAGAGTTTTTTTTGTTTGAGCGCCTTGAGTTGCACTGATCCAACGTTTACCAATGCAGATACTATCTACAACAGTATAACTACTTCTTCTATGAGTTTCTGTCCCTACAGAGCATCAATCTGGAAGCAGTGCTCTTTTATTCTCACAGTTAAAATGTGTATACCTCACTGTGTGGCTCACATTGCAATCATTTCTGTCTAAGGTAACATTAGAGATTGTTGTAGCGTAGAAACCGAGCCCCTTCTGGACAGACTGAACGTTACCGATACCAGCGACACAAACTTATAATCAAATCATGGCTGATATCCGATCCACTCGATTGAGTCACCATCAGCCTCACTAGCTGTGAACACCATAAATGAGGTGCCATTTACCTCCACTACGCTGGGTTGGAGGCAGAAATCTTAGAGAGGTGGAGATCTCAAAATAAAACTGTCATATCAGCAAAGCTACAGAAACCTAGTGCCAGGTTACAAATTATGTTTTTGTACTTTGGTTGAAGCAACCCTTTTAATAGATTGTAAAATTATAATAGTTCATCCTCCCTGATGACCTCTCCAACTTGTTTACAGGGTCATATGAACTCACCATATCAGAGCACAGAAATGTTGTTTTCAGAAGAAGAAGCGATGACATTATAGACCCTTGTGTTGGAGCTCCTCCAACATCGCCCACATACCCGCTGAGGACCGCTCTCAGCAGGTCATTACACAATAGTCCAGCCAGGCGTTAAAGCGAGGTCTGAAGGTGGCTGAGCAAGCAGGTGGGTGACATTTACAGGAAATTCTGGGTCTTATTTCTGTACTTTTGCCCATCATTCCTGTCTGATATGGTGACATTTTACAACAAAACTCAATGGACAAGGAACAAGGCAGGTGATCAGCAATGCGCTGCTCCATGTGTCTATTGCAGAGATTTTGTACAAACATGTTTTTTCTCTGCAACTAGAGATTAAAAACCAACATCTCAGGGGTCCTCACTTTTTGTTTCCTCTCCCTGGACCACAAGGTTGATCCTTCAGTCCTCATAAATGAGAAACTTCCTCTAGCTTCCTCCAACAACAGAGAGGCAGACAGGGGTGAGGAAAGAGCAAAGTGCTTTATTTAACCACAGCAGGCATGATGGTGGAGGGGAGGAGTGGCAGGTCATGGAGGCAGGAGCCTCCTTTCGTTGGCTGGAGCCTGGAGAAGTGAAGGGTGAGCTGAGGAGGCTGCCTGGCTCCCGTGTCCCCGGAGCACCTGTTCGCCTCGACACTAAATGTAAAGTAGCCGGGAGGCAGTTGTGAGTGCGCTCAGAAAAGGGGGGCCGCCTGACACGGTACTCCCAGCTATGCCAGCTGAGTCACTGAAATTAAGACCAATTTAGAAAGGTGTCTGGTGAACAGGGCCTGCACCCCTCCTCCCTCATCCACCCCCAAAGCTCTCCTCCATCTCCTCGGCTCAACGCTCAAACCCACCCCCTCCTCGACTCCCACATTACCACTCACCCACCTCAGGGACTGTGGCTGCCTTCTATTCAGGCAGCTCCACACACTTCACACCTCCTCAATCTCACATCCAAGCAGGTGCCTGTTGTTATTTTACTGGACGTCGTACAAAGGTTAAGTTCAATAAAACAGAACAAGGAGGAAAAGCTCCATTGGTGAAAGCGTCACAGCCCATTCTGCATTAGTCATCAGGTCGATAACAGCAGTGTGACAGGTTGAATCATGGTGCTAACTAACTGAGGGGAAGGTTTCATGACCAAACACGGATCGGGGCAAAACTCGGATCAATTTGTAAGGAAGAGCAACACGCCACTGCCTTGGCACATAGGCTGCTACTGCCAAAGGGCCCACACAGAAGTCACAGCTAGGTGTGTGTAATCATTTGAAGCTCACCCCCAGTTTGTAACAACAAATCGCTACTTCTCTGGTGCAGCTGGTAAACCTGAGGAACGGCTCTCTGCTTTGGGAGGCCAGCTATTACAACCTATGGAAGCCTGCGAAGACCCTCCGATTGGTGGAGGGTCACTTCAGATAAACGCTTGCCATGCCCCATTCAGCTCCAGGAGCCAAGTAAACAAGTAAATCCCATGTGCAAAAAATAAAACAGGTGAAATAAATTGTCTTCATCTTTAAAAGGGAGAAAGTTTCAAAGCACCAACAAGGTCGGATAAATGATCTACTATCAGATTTGACTCTCCTGCACCCAGTCAAACAGCTCTGTGAGGATTAACCCATTTACTGTGACATGTATAAGCTACAACCTGTGTAGCCTGTAGCGATTTCTCCTCGATCAGACGCACGATAATGTTCAAAGTAACCGGTTGAGGCGAACAAAGGAATCTGCGCTCATGTTAACACTGAAGAAAACGCGCTGTGCTGGAGGCCAGTGGGGTAATTCTGGATTATTTATCACCCTAACCGACACCAGCCCCTTGTTTTTTCCAGACAGTGCAGCGAGTCTCCCGCTGGCCACCGCTGTTGCTTCACGAGCCTGTGCGAAATAGATGCGCACTGCATTTCTCCCTCTTTCGCCTGTGCCAACCTCGGAGCCACACTGGTAAAACACCGGTGTCGCCTTAGTTTTTGCTTTTCCAACCCTCTTGTCTTACCGTGTCCACACATCCCAGCACGGCGGTTGCCAGTGTTTGTACCGGAGAAGGCTGCTCTGCGCTGGCTCCCTCCGACGCCATCTTCGTACTGTAGCGGTCTGCTGGAGTGAGAGCGCATCCGGCACGCATTAACTATTGCGCTGCTGAATGCAAATCACGCCACGGGCGGCCATTGAAACCAAAAAGAGACGAGATCTGACAAACTAAAGGGGATGTAAAGGGAGAGAGAGCGGGTTTCTGCCGTGAAAAACCCACGACCGAGTGTGCGGGCTGCAGCGGGGGAAGCGGGGAAGCGGGGCAGTCTTGCAACCACGGACCGACCGACGCGTAATCCAGATGCGAAGCCCCGGTGCGCTCCCAACTGGAAAGGAGGTGCGCCCCGACAGGCTGATTGACAACAGCATTTGTCGGCCTCTAGCTATAAAATAAGCCAATGAGTGGTCTCCAACCTGCGGTTCAGGGACCTCCACGGACCGGTGCTTAAATAAAATTACAAAGATGATAAAGATAAATCATTAGCGTTTCATAACAAGCAACTTAAAGGACGATTGTTGTCTGTTGCTTGGTTTTTATTCAGTTCTTGTATTTATTGTGTGGATCTCCGAACAGGCATATCGGCCACAGGCCCAGGGGCCCAAGGGGCCCAGGGGGTCCAGGAGCCCCTATACCAGAGAACTGTGAAGGGACAATTAATCTTTCCACTAAAAGGCCAGTCAAATGACAACAAAACGACTACAAACACACACAAAATTAGAAAAGAATTGAGATACAATAGTCTACAACTACATAGAGATAGAAAACCACTAAAATGACACAAAGACAGCAACTCAACTACATAAATAAGCAAAAGGAGGTGCAAAATATCCAAAAAAAAATGCTAATTGAATACAAAAAGAGGCATCATTTATTGAAATGTAGATAAAGTGGCTAAAAACAGACAAAAAAAAAAAAAACAACCACAAGAAGACAAAAACTGACTGGTTGCTGAATCTCGTGTCTGGGCCCATTGTCTCATAATCCCTCCATGTTGTGAAGCACTATATGACATCTGTTGTTGCAAGGTGTTACAGCCCAACTATAAATAAACTTGCACTTCCCCTACCTCAATATTTTATGATTTATTATTATTATTATTGTTGTTGTTGTTGTTATTCAAGCATGTACAAAACCATGCAGGGCTGTAGGCAGCATTTCAGAAATAATGAGGCAATGAGCCCAACTGGTTTATGGTTTAGTGAAAATTACAAACATCCTCATCTTACAAATAAGCTACCACATGAATAACTGAGTTGGCACCAGAACAAAAAAGGAGGCTGATGGTCTGATGCTTTTGTGAGAACCATTAATATTGTTACTTAAGTAAAAGCTACAGTTCCACAGTGTATAAATATTCAAATTTTGTAAAAGTCATGTTGTAAGCGGTGACTACAGCAAAATTAATTTCAAAATAAAAGCATTTGTTATGAACAATGACCCCTGCAGTGTGTTACTGTATGTAAATTATATAGAATAGTTTGTTACTCGTGCACCAAATGGCTTTTTTTCTGTCTGCAGGAGGTTTCTGGTTATACTAAGTCATGTTAAATTACATGATCATGTTTAGTTTATAAAACATACAAAACACTGCTGCTGTGTCTGTAACAGTAGCAGAGTAACAAGTGAAATATTTCTGACCTGAAATGTATCGAGCTCACATTTGGTTCCTTTGGGCAAAGACTCGTCAGTCTGACGTGGTCGAACACAAATCTGTTTTACATGCTTATCTCTCATTTCTCTCAAGTAATAAACACGCTTTTAGCGCATTAGCTGTCCAGTGTTTTGAACAAATATGTGTGCCACTGTCATATATTTGTGTACATGTCAGCATTATCCTGTACAGGCAAACAATAGCTCTCTCAGAAGATGTCTCTATAACATCTACTGTGGACCATGTTATTTAAAAAGCTGTTAACTGAAACCAAAAGTCCAGTGTTACTCTCACACGGGTCGAGGCTCAGCGTTCAAACCTCTATAGGTCTGTTTATCCCAGAAATGCAGACAGGGGATAGAGGCCCACTCAGCTCCCAGATATGGTGTTTAGGATTAGCTAACGCTGATCCCCCTGGTCATCCAGAATTAGGTTAGTAAGTCTCTATTTAGGTCAGATGTTGCACAATCCACATTCACTGGTTACAGTGAGAGTTTGGTTGTGTATTGACTTGTAGTTTTTAGTGCAAACTGATTGCCTTTCTGTCTCTGGGTTAATGAAAACACATTCCTGACACTGGACAGACTTGGAAAGCCACAGGATGAGGGCAGAGCTGGTTTCTTAGTTCCTGGCATTTTGATGTCATTGATCTGCACGGTTTTCATCTAGAAACAGCTGTATTTTAGCAGCAATGGAAAAAAAGCTGAACATAAATATTGTACATCTACATATAAACAGCTCAGTGACGATCACATCATATCTCAGAGGGCTGTCACTCAGGCCTTGAGTATCCACAGGGGAATTTCATGTGAGATCTTTCTTTTTCTTACTGACTCATCATGTATTAAATCCCAAACTTGTGTCTAACTCTGAGGCTGATCAGCAGACATGGAGCTGACACATGGAGGTAATCACTCTGAATGAATGAAAGGTCAGCATTAGCCAGAGACGATGGGGGAGTCCAAACTCTGGCACTGACTTGGACACGGTGACTCCCCCTTTCCATTTGTCTGATGAAGTTGGCTGTGACCTTAGAAGATAGGTTGACAAGGCCTCCTTATTAAATACAGCACGTGTCTTGTAGCTGCATTGCATTCTGGCCTTTTTCTGCTGCTGTGAATGAAAACAAAAGTCTCTGACCGTGGCTTCTCTTCAGTAGGTTTCTCACTGTGACTACAACTGTTAAACACTGGTGCAAATTTTCTGATCTAAAAGTAACTGTTCACTCTTTCACACTGCAAAGATGAATAGTAAAACATGAAAATAAAATCCTCTGCCAAGCTAAAATGATTTATATAAACAGATGCGATAAACAACAGTAAACAGCAAAATTGTCCTGGGGTAAAGAACATGTATAATAAAATATTGATATTGTTACTGATACTGGTTTCTAAGATAGAAGGTGTTTCACATGATTAAATACAAGATGTAGAATTACAGCGGCATAGTTTATATGAAATTAAATACAATCATTTTACTGAAAAATATGTTTTTCTAACATTTCAAAGACAGGTAAAATAGACTAAATCTGTTGAGTCTTGGTTAAGTTTAAGTAACTGCAAGTGTTAGAATAGTCAATTCAACTCAGTCTATGAACACAGCTCATGGGGGTTCGTAGAAAAACAATGCGTACAGTTAAAAAAAAAATCTACAGTATATAAGAAAAAATAACAAGTAGAAATAATTCCACAGTGACTGAATGAGCATTAGGATGCAGGCTGGACACCAGTGGCTCCTCATTCTAGAAAACATCCTGATGAAACTCAGTGTTGATGGGTAAACCAACATTTGCTAGCATTTAGCTTGAGCTGCAGCTTCTGGGAGCCATAAAAAATTGTTGGGATGTAAGAACTTAACTGTAGCAGAACTAAAGAGTTTTATCTTTACAATAATGCTACAGACATGCATGCACTCTTAAATTATAGACAGTTTAAAGTGAGAATAAAAATCAGATAGAAATGTATATAATCATCAAATGGGTGAAGCAGTGGAAACATATTGTCATAACGAACCACTGTGAGTCTCTGCAGGCTGCCTTTGCAACACCACAGGTGGGCACAAAAACCTTTACATAGACAGGTCTGCACAGTCACACATGCAACATTTATGAGTCAGCGTCTTCGCTTGTGCATATAACTTTCATCACTGTCTATAAACATCCTTAACATTTGGTAGACCACTGGTTGGACAATAATAGACAGTAAGGAATCAGGAAATGCTCATTTTCTGTCGTCCGGTCATTATATTACTCTTATTTGCATTACATTTGATGTCAAAATCATAAACAAGCCCGTGCTAACTGTTGAAGACCAGCATTATATGAACTGAAAATTTCCAAATCGCCTGTGCACATAAAGTGGTTAGTGAGAAAATGACTAATGCTCCACATCCATTTAACTGCACTGACAGGTTATCCATATAAATGTTAGAAAGAGAAGGAAGCTTAACAAGTCTTTAGTGATTATTGGTCAGGATAATAAGAAACCAGAGCTGACTGTTGATGGGATGAGAGCCTCGGTGTTGAAGTCAGACAATCTTTAGCTGACAAAAACGTCCAGGTAATGTAAATCAAATCAAACTGTGTTAGAACGTCAGGGTTGGAGCGTGTGCTTAGTGTACTTTACATTGTTGCTGGGCACTTCCTACACCATCTCCCTATGACTGCATTATGAAAATCAACATGCACAGATTGTTTTCAGTACCTCATTCACTATGGCTACCATCTGTCAAAGTTGCTGCTGTGTGTTGCTGGTGTTTGGGCAACATAATAGGTTTCTCAGTCTGTGGTTCTCGGCCACTGAAGTCAGTCAGCATGAAACAAGTGGTTGGGCTGGAAACACAAGCAGGCACACCAGCTGTCTGTTGATTGATGACACATTAAATTCTGCAGATAAAAGGTTATGTGAAGGCCTTACCTCTCCTGATTCCCTGCATTCTTATCATAAGGTAAGTCTGTTTATTCAAGACAGGAATGTTTGTATTTCTGAAAAGAAGTGAGTTACTAAGACAGACTGTATCCAGGTGTTCATACAATATGTGCAGCTGAACTAAATCCTCACCCCAGCCATTCTCCGGTGTGCACTGAAGTGACACTTGAGTGACACTTTTATTTTCTCTGCCTAGTCCTGTTCACACAACCTGTGGACTGGAGCCAACTGTGGCAATCATGACAGGTTGTTCATAAAAACAGATAGAGAGAAACCTCTCACTCACACCTACGTATGTGGAAACCTGACTCTCTAAGGGAGGGAACTGCAGCCCTCAGGAGAAAGTCCACGCACTAAAGGTAAGGGAGGGTATCAACATATGACTCATTATCAGGAAATCCCGTTAAAAAAAAAAAGAACAATGAAGTATTACTACTAGTATTATTCCTCTGTGCCACAGAGCTTAAAATTGTATAGTCATCGAGTAAATAAACATAGTTACATTCCTTCACTGAGAGCAGATTGCTATAGCTATACCTGTGATTAGCTGTGAAGTGTTTTGTTCATGTACCAACAGGATCATGGTTGATGAGTGTGTAAACTGTGTCCACTGCAGGCGGGGTGAGCAGGGATCTGAGGCCAGGACAACAGCCCTGAGGTGAAATGCTGGCCACAGGATGAGGACCGGGAGAAAGTGGTGCATCTGGAGA